AGGGGCGGAGTTGGAGAGGGGGGGGGGGGGCGAACGCCCTCAGGGATTCGACCCCCTGCCGTGCCGACCCAAAGGGTCCGCCTTTGTACTATTTGAGTTATCCATTTTTGGTGACCCTGAAATTGTTTTAAAGGCGCCTTTGGAGCCAATATATACTAATTTTGAGGGGGGAGCGCGTGCCGAAAAACGCGATTTTTAGGAGAAAAGTTTCCAAAAAGTGCCTTAAGACGCCTTTTTCGGCCTGTTTTTTCAAAATTTTGCCTGCGGCGCACAAAATTTGGCCAAAAGCAGGGGCGGATCTACGTTTTTCTCGAGGGAGGGGCAGATTTTCAAAAAAAAAATTGTCGACCTTTTTTTAGGTCGACCGAGTTGATTTTTCGAAGCTTTCCCTAAGCACTGTTTACTGTTTAAACCCTGTTTTGGCCAAACTTTCTGCGCCGCAGGCAAAATTCAATACTCGAGAGCTCGAAAAATCAATATGGTCGACCTAAAAAAAAGTTCGACAAATTTTTTTACAAATCCGCAAACCCCCCCCCCCCCCCCCTCGAGAAAATCCTAGATCCGCCCATTGATGACAACAATGACAATCTGTTCTGTATTGCATAACAATATGAATTTTCGGCTTGTTTGAATGATGGTAATATTTTTTTCTGTTTGTTGGCCGATCACCGAAATGTGCCACTGTAACTAAAAACTTAATACAACGTCAGTTGCGCCGAGTGTAATGTAAACTTTACATTAGTTGTGGGCATGGGCGGATCTAGGATTTTCTCAAGGGGGTGTGGGCGGGCACAATTTTTTTAAAAAAGGCCGGCCAAACAGCGTTTTTAGGCACTTTTTGGAAACTTTTGACCAAAAAATTGCGTTTTTTCGGCGCACGCTTCCCCCTCAAAAATTTAGGAAAATTTTAGGGTCCGTCAGCCAAAAATGGATATCTCAAAATAGTACAAATAGACCAAATTTTACTTCAGACGCCATGAAAGACAGTCATAAAAACATTCAAGATACGCCCAGTCTTGGCAGCTTTAAGGCGACTAATAGAAAATTTGATACACGCTAATAGAAAACTAGAATTAACACAAATAAACAAAATTGACAATTTTCGAGCCCCCATAACTTCATGAAAAATAATCACAAATGGGGTAAAGTTTAAACGGCTCAAAATCAAAACGTCAACATATTGAACTGAAACTAATGTGATTAAATCTGAATTAGACTAAAGTATTTCATATTTCAATAAATTCTACCATTGCTAGCTTGCATCACATATTTGAATAAATTTTTAAAAACTAGGTTCTTCATTTTTTTCTTTTAAATTTCTATCAACCCCAAACGTTAACTAACGTACAGAATAAAATACTTAGCGTCTAGTTATTTAATTAACACAACCAAATGACAGAACGAAAAGAGCAATGAACGCAAGAATATCTGGATCAATAGGTAAAACATTTATTTCGGTGGGAAATCTGATAATTAATTTCAATTTCCGAGATTAGAAGTCGATCACGTTTTTCGTGACCTTTACACTTTTGCTGTTCGATAGTGGAGTTTGCCTTCCTTGTAACCATGGAAATGCACTCAACTTAAAACAAAATCACAAGTCAAAAACTGGAAAACGGTCAAGGAACTCAAGGAGACAAAAAAATGAAAGGCGTCTTTCAAATTTCGCATTATGAAAAAAAACATCAGTACTTAAATTCAAATTCAAATTCATTTTTTCCACATAACTTTCAATTTACATATTAATTATTTTTGTTCCACGAAACTAGCCCAAAAACTGCACCACTAGAAAGTTTGTTAATACCACTGGGAAAAAGTATGAGTTTGAAACTGAGAGTCATTCAGATTTTTTCGCGCCATTTGCAATTTCGTAAGCACAGAGCCTAATTTTCTTTCCTTTGAGCGCATGAATTTGAAAGAAATCAAACAACAGTAAAAAATCAAATTCGAGTACGAACAAATTTTATGATTTCCTTGAAAATGATTTCCTTGAAAAAAGTATCATACAGGCGAAGCAAATTTTATGATTTCCTTGAAAAAAAATATCACAGAGGTGAACCTAATGTTTTGATTAAACCCTTGATACCGAATTTGATAGGATAATTATCGACGAAAGTCTAGAAAATGGTCAACAAATTGAAAATCTGACTTTTCCGAGAATCATAGTTTTATGTGATAAAAATTTGGGCGTTACCTCTTATGCAGAAAAGACAAATGATAATCATAATTTTATTTTCAAGCCAAAACTTATAACCACTCATTCTATGAAATTGTACGTCTTCAATTTAGTTCGGCTTGGGAGAATACCAAAAAGGCATCAGCTACTGTAATTTCGATTGAACGCAAAAACTCAAATTTGGGAGGTTAGTTAATGAGAAAATTCAAAATGGTATAACAAAAATAAAATAATTTCGAGGGCGATAACTTCATGTGTAAAAAAATTTCCGAGTAGCCCCTAATGCAGGGGAGCTTCCCACCAACCCTTATCTCCTTTAAACCCACAATCTCAGATTTGGGATGGTAGTTTTCGAGATAAATCAAAAGTTAATTAAAAGACTAATAAAAAATCAAATATTTGACTATTCCGAGGGCCAGTCCCTGTAAAAAGTGAAAGTAGCCACTTATGCAGGAAAGCTTTCAACAACCCGTTCTACCTATAGGGAGGGTAGTTTTTGAGGATTCGAAAAAAAATCCAAATTATGGCTCAAATTTTCCAGACTTTTTCGAAGGCTTACCCCGTGGGTGATAAGACTAGGGGATTAAGCAGGCACACAGGGGAATAGTCGGTCTTTCCATTTGTGCCCCTTTTTTGAAAATTGGTAGCGTAGTTTTCAAGAAAAACTACAACTCTTGCAAAAACTTACTTTGATTTGAAATTGGCAATGGAACTTAACTTACAAAGAGGAAACAAAGCCGACAATCTTTGAGCAGACACCACTTGAGCTGAAAAAACGAATTTACAAAAATTGTGAAAAGTTTCAAGTCCGCCTTGAAACTACAATGAACAACACTTACAACTACCATGATTATTGATTACAGCATAAGAGAAATCAGTGATGTGACACCCAAGACGGAAAAACTTGGGCAGACAAACGAAAATCCAACAATACAAGTTTTACAGGAATTATTTTTATTTCAAACAAGCTGAAAAAAACAAGGTACTCCCGGGACCCCAAACTGTAGAGTGCAAAAGCAAACGCGTTACCTCCGAGCCAAGTGCGAAGGAACCTGGATGTTACTAAGGTTCAGTAATAAAGCAAGTTCAATTTATTGTAAGAAAAGTTGTTTATGGGAAAAAAGTCCAGTTCCCGATTACAAGACATCGTTCTCGCAAGTGTAAGCCTTAATAATGAATAAATCACATCAATTATAGACCAATAACAAGCAACCTGGATTCAGAAGAAGTTATCATTAAATCCCCAATCACTGATGTTCTTTTTAAGCATTTCTCAAAATTTTACAATATCTTGACTTCCAAAAAGCCCTTGATTATATTTAGTAATCTGAAAACTTGACAATTTCTCTTCAATTGGCTTTGACTGAAATTTCATCTCCAAGTTTATCAGTCTGACTTAGAAACGCAACACCTAAAAGTGTGTTTTCAGTTATGTTTATTCACGTGGATGTGTAATTTGAACTTAGTTGTTTATAAACTTCATTGATGACATGAACAATTTGTCGATGAGTCAACCTGTTTCTGTTTTGCAGATGATACTGAGCTGAATAGTTGTCTGAGGGCTGTCTATTCTAGTTCGCGGTATGACTGAGTAGTTTAAATAAACCCAAATACGGCGTTACACTAAACGATAAAAAACAATTAGCATACTTCTCCAGGGAAAAATCGAGCTCCAATAACTCCCCACCATAGCTCTGAAATACGACCGCAAAAAACTTCCAATTTGACATGGAATGCTCATGCCAGAATCAAGAAGAAGATGGCTGCGAAAAAGTTTCGATTATCAACCGCATGGTATTCAGCGAAAACTTTCTATGGGAGTGAAATTAAAATCGTTCCAGGGCAAGATCATTTTATACATTGCTGTATTGTTGCTCTGCGTAGATTTTTGATTTAACTTATTTAAAATAGTTCGATTTGTTCAATTACTTCGGTCTGAAGCGGTGTTATGTCCAAAACTATCACGAGTTGCTATTACTTTAAAATACGCTGCCGATATCAGACCAGTTTAAAAAAAACACAGATTTTGCCGTTATTTGTCTTAGAGGATCTCCAGGATCTCGAAAATTTTTTGATAAAAACCTGGCTCTAAGACAAATAACAGCAAAATCTGTGTTTTTTAAATCAGAACATTTCACAACTTTAGTTGAAACCTTGAAAAGGATTCAAAGTTCTGACATCAAAATCAATTTTAACAGGCAAGATAAGCATTGCCAACAACAACATTGAGATGTCTGATCATAATTTTAACGACCGAGCAAATGCTCATTTCGTTTTTCAATGTGAGTAGCGCATTCGTGGATGTGAGTAGCGCATGTCATGCAGATGGTCTATCAAACACCGCTGTTCAACTATACATTTGTTTAGATTTAGTAAATTGTCAATTTTAGTCAAGAGGTAAACTGAAGTCTTTTACTACTACTACTACTACTACTTTAAAAAAAATGAAAATCAAATTTTCATGTCCTACGTAAGCACAACTAGTGTCCGCTTTACGTTAAATCGGTTCTATTTTCTTCTATTACATGGTTTGAAAATCTGAGAGTTTATAAAAAGTATTGCAACTCAGTAAAATTGTTAAAATAGTGGTTAAAATGGTCCAAGAATAGTGCGAGCCGAGGACACTATGCCCACAAAATATTCAAGCATGGACAATACCTCTAGGCTCTAAATGGGCAGAAACAATAATTGCAATCAAATTTACTTTAAAGCAAACTGAAACATTTAACTTCTTACGTGCGACCTTCGTGAACCAAATTCATAACGACAGAAAAAGTCTAGTGCCCGGTTGCAATACCCTTGCTAATCAAAAGGGGTAACTAACCATTTCCTGAAATAACAGCCAGGCGACCCTCTCGACCTAGGGATGAGGCCATAAGATGGATGGAAGTTACCGAGCTAAAAGTGTAGACGCTTCTCAGAATCAGGCCTAAACAGAAAAACTTACCCAAATCATAGATTTAAAAAATCGGCGTTTTATAATAAAATTATGTTAAGGATAAAACCTTGCATTTAAAAGCTAACAAACTTTTGTCATGTATGAGAATCAACCAGAAATACAAAACTAAACTACACAACTTCGAATAAAAATCAATCCGATTCAGAACTCATATGGAACCCTTCCAAAAACGCGAGGCACAAAAACAAATGATCAAAAAAATGAATTGCTTCCAAGTGAATGATTGATTCTACAAAACGATGTAAATATATCTGTAAAATCTCTTTTAAGTTTATCCGTTGAAATGTAACATTAGACTAGTTCTGATGACACTAGACTAATTATTGTCCTAAAATTTAGTTCGACTTAAAATTTCTGACCTGATGAGTAATTCCACAGTTTAATGCAACAGTCAGTGGAGGCTGTGAGACACAGTCCATCCTCGCCTCTCGCTACTTCACTGCCAGCATCTAAACACCATAGACATATTTCGTGACCTTTACACTTTCACTGTTCGATTTCGCATTGTCGAGTGGAGTTTGCCTTCTTTTTAACAAAAGAAACGAAGTGAACTGAAAAAAAAATCAGAAGTCAAACCGCGAAAAATCCAAAAAAATCACCAAGACCCAGGGGCGGATCTAGGATTTTCTCGAGGGGGGGCGGATTTTCAAAAAATTTGACCTTTTTTTAGGTCGACCAAATTGATTTTCCGAGCTTTCCTAAAGCTGTAAAAAGACGCTTTTTTGGCCCATTTTCTGCGCGGCAGGCAAATTTTTGAAAAACAGGTCAAAAAAGCCGTTTTGGGCACTTTTTAGAAAATTTTGACAAAAAAAAATGCGTTTTTTTTGGCGCGCGCTTCCCCTCAAAATGAGTATTGCGCCGAAGTCGCCTTTACAAAAAGTTTAGGGTCGATCTGCCAAAAATGGATTTCTTAAAAAGTACCAAGGGGGGACTCTTTGGGTCGGCAGGGGGTCGAATCCCTGAGAAGGGGGGGGGCGGACGCCCGCCCCCCCCCCCCTAAATCCGCCCCTGCCAAGACCTATATATGAGAACTCACTACGTTCATTATTCTTAATCATCGCTAACGGACAGTTTTAGTCTGGTAAATCTGTGCATTACTCCATAAAATTTATGTTTTTGAAAGCAAAGGGGGGATGGGCAGAAAAGCCCTTTGAATTAAAACAGTACATATTTTAAACTTTCCAGCAGCTATGCTCTACATGATTTTCTATCGACGCTGTAAATAATACTGGCTAGAAATTATCACTTAATAGGTTTTCGCCCCATTTTTGCCATTAAATTTTGAAAACAATCAATTCAATTACACCGAGAAACCGTGAGATAATTTACTTAATTGCTCCCTCAATTAACTTCTCAATCAAAGTCTGCCGAAAGCCATTTTTTCAGTTTTTATGCTTAAATATTGTTATTCTGAACCGTTCCTTTTGGTGAACTTTTATAGATCTCAACGCTAATAGGACCCACAAAAATTAGTCCTATAAGTCCCATCAGATTCGATCTGCGACCTAGATCGGATTCGATCTGCGACCCAGAGATTTTGAGTCGAATGTACTAACCACTCAGCCACGGACGATTTAATAAATAGAACACTAGTCACTAATCAAGAAGAGAACAGATGCTATCAAATTTCCAATGCTACAGATCGTGATTATAGCAAAATTGCAATTGAATAAGTTAACACTTTAATTTGCGAGTTAGGTTGGAAAACAAAGAAGGTTCGTTTTAAAACACTAAGCTCTCAAGATTGCTAGTGTAACAAGAATTAATATCAATTGGCATTTGGAATGAAGGTTTCATTCGTATGTAGTGATCACTATTCTTGTCAAGGAGTATTTTGGGTGATCATTCACTATGGACAAATTAGAACTTCTACACAGAGGCAAAGCTTCGCTTAGCAGACACTTGCGAGAACACAACAAAAAATAGCTCTACTAAGTGCAAAAAAAATCAACTAGAAATAATCCTCGAATTAGCAAAAAATCGTCTACCTCTGAGATTCGAACCTGCAACCTAGAAATTACGAGTCTCAAACGCTAACCACTAACCTACGGAAGTTTATTAGATACCATTAACCACTCAGTCGCAAAAAAAGCAGATAACATATGCTGTGCAATTTCCAATGCTACAGTGAAATTTCCAACAAATATGAAAACTTTAATTTGAGAGTTAGGTTAGAAAAAGAAGAAGGTTCGTAATACCACACTAAGCTGATCGGAAGTGTAAAAACACTTAAAGCTTGGTTCAGGTCTTGCTTGCGCTTACCCTTATTAAGGCGGCCTATGAAGTTCTGTAATTCTGCCTTGTTATTTGCGTGGTCTGCATCTGTTTTGATTAGCGGGTAGATTATTTTGACAGCTGTCACTGTTCCACTGTGTCCCAACAAAGTTCTGATCTCTTCACACGTGTTCACATCCCACACTTTCACCATTGTGTCACGTCTGATCAAATTAACTTTTCATTTTATACAGCGCCGGTGTTTCACTTCGCATATGCAAGCGACAAATGGCAAAAAAAAGCAAAAGATTCAAAAAAACTGAACTAAAACAATCACTAATGTAACAGTACCAAACGTACCCGAATTGAAAAGATCAGAGATAATAAAAGCAACTCAATAACGCTTCTATGTAATTGATTTCTTTGTGGCATCTGCTGATAATTTTCTGCAGATGAAGGCGGCTCGGTTTCGAACCGCAAAAAATGACAATTATATTTCTATGTCTCACCCTCCTGTAATGGCGAAATGCAAGTTAGAGTCCAAGCAGAAAACTGTGTCATTATGGCCTTCCAATTGCTTGCCCCTCCAATTCAACTTCCGCAATTGCTTTACACTCACTTCATCACCTGAAAATTTGAAGTTCATTATAAAAAACCAAGCGAGCAATCTGATAACATGCCAATAATATGATAGCAAGACTCCATATTTGCATTTGGGCGTTCTCCTAATTACTGAATTTTGACCAAGTAAACAGGGTACCATGCGCAACAACTGGTTACTTTTGTCGTTCCGGTCATTGAAAATGGGGAGGAACTTCAGTGTTTTAGCTTAGTTTTTTTCTTTTTCACGCAAAATCAGGTGCCACGAATGAACAAAGCCAATCCAAGATCGGAAAAGAGTAATGAAAGGAGGTCAAGGGGGATGGGTGAGCGTGGGAGGTAAAGGGTGGTGAGGGGGATGGGTGAGCGTGGGATGTAAAGGCTACTGAGAGGAATGCGTGATCGTGGAATGTTAACGGTAGTGAGGGGATGTGTGAGCGTGGGACGTAAAGGGTGTTGAGGGGGACGCGTTAGCGTGGAATGTAAAGGGTGCTGAGAGAATATGTGCGAGCGTGGTATGTACAGGAGGATGAGGGGGATGCGTGAGCGTGAGATGTTAAGGTTTGTGAGGGGGGTGCGTGAGCTTGGTATGTAAAGAGTGGGGAGGGGGATGGGTGAGCGTGTAAAGTAAAAGGCGGTGAGGAAGATGCGCTAGCGCGGAATGTAAAGGGTGGTGAACGGGGATGTGGGAGCATGGGATGTAAAGGGTGGTGAGGGAGGATGTGTGAGCGTGGTATGTAAAAGGTGAGGGCGAATGCGTAAGCGTGGGATGCAAAGAATGGTGAGGGGAGATGCGTGAGCGTGGGATGAAAACGGTGCAGAGGGGGATGCGTGAGCGTGGAATGTAAAGGGTGGCGAACATATTGTTAATTAAGGTACCAAATGATTCAAGCGATTTTGTTACACTACATGTTAGCCTGAAAAGTATATATTACGATTTGTTAACGCTTTCTAAACGCAAACGTAAAAATAGGAAACTTTTAAAAACTATTTATCATATTTTTCCGCAAAACAGGTTTTCGTTCAAAACCTAGGTTGAACCGAAAACAAAACTATTTTCAGGAAAACCTTCGAGCTATAGTTCTGAAATTCAAAGGTTTTTATCCTTTTGCGTGCTACAAAGTGGAAGTTAAGTATAGTGAGGGGGTATGTGAGAGCGTGGAATGTAAAGGGTGGTGAGCGGGATGCAAGAGCGTGGGATGTAAAGGGTTGAGGGGGGGGGGGGGGGTGTTGCTAAAGCTTGGTATGTAAATAGTGGTGAGGGTATGTGTGGGTGTGGGATGTAAAGGGTGGCAAGGGGATGCGTGAAGGTTGGATGTAAAGGGTACTGAGAGGAATGCGTGATCGTGGGATGTAAAGGGTGGTGAACAATTGTGAATCAAGTTATCAAATGATTCAAGCGTTTTTGTTACACTAAATGTTAACCTGAAAAACGTATATATTCTGATTTGATAACGCTTGCTAATCGCAAGCGTAATTAAAGGAAGTTTTGAAAAATTGATTCTTCGTATTTTTCACCAAAACAGGTTTTCGTTTGAAACCTTCAACAGTAGTACCTGAATTATGCCCTGAGACTGCTTTGGAGTTATTTTGGACGTCAGTTTGTTGTCGACATTTACATCGCCACTCTTCTCTACAGGCGCGACCTCAGTTACGACAGAGCCTGAAACAAAGTTGAAGCAAAACTGATTAAGAATTCGTTCCATCGATAGATTTATTTTGATACCATTTCTCAATCGACTATTTCAGGGCAACGAATTGGGTCGAAGGTTCGAGGCTTAACACGATCCACGCTCGTTGCTTGAGGATGTGGCAAAATTTCTTAGCCCAGAAATTATATACATTTCTTAATCAGGGTCACAACAGCCGTTCATCTTTCAGAAGTGAACAGTTCGTATTTTGGTCCTTTCCCCCGTGGATTAATCGTCTTATATTAATCCTTCATCATTCTGGCAACACAATGATTTTACTTCGACCGAAAAACAAAACTGGATTCCAAAGAAAAAAGAAGCGCACTGAATGCAATTTCTTAAATTTGGGACTAATAACAGAAAAAAATTTGGTTCAACTAATGCAGTATATCAAAAGTATGGCTGTATTTGTATTCTTAAATAATTCAACCTAATAATTAACTGAGCTGAACAAGGCGAAGTTCACTTTTGAATTTTTACACAAAACAGCTGATTGATAAGTGTAACCCGAAGAAGAGCTTTCGCTTTCGCGTTTGTGTTCCACATTAATAATGTCCCCTCTATCTCTTTTCGTCTTTTCTGACAGAAGAGCATTTTCACTCACCCCTCGATCATCACTCTGAGATCTACACAATTACTATCATAAGTCCAGCAACAATTCAGAAAGTCTATTTTATTTTCAGCTTTCAACAAAATTGGTCTATAAATTTTAAAACATTTCGACAAAATCTGAAATCTTGAAATTATAGAACTGTTCCAACGCATCCAAGTGAGACAAAAATGAACAACAGAAAAACTTTAAGAAAACAAATTCAAACATTGCAAAAAAAGTACTTACAAGAGTTGGCAAGAAAAAAAACATTTACCATGTTGTAAGCCAGTGTAACAAAAACCATTCAGACATATTATGAGGGATTTATCATGATATCCTCCCAAAATCATAGAAAGTTTCTTTGGGACACTTGAGACGGCTCGAAAAAACCCAACCTACGAAAACCTTCCCAATTCGCTTGGTAACTTTTTTAAAAAAACATGAGCTTTATTAATTTCTCATTGGTTCGGAAATAAACAAACTCACATTCACAATAAAGATGTATACAAAATATTTCAGCAAAAAAACTTACAAAATCAGAAACAAATCACACCTTTATTTCCCTTTATGACATGCTTGTCCATTGCACAAGCATCGTTGATGCTAAAGCCATCTAAATCAAGTAACAATAAATAAATAATTCAATACTTCGAGGAATCGGTTCGATGGAAATGAAATGAGACATTAATCAGACCATGTACAACTCGCTTCACTTGAAAACAACGCCGCCCGAGACCAAATTTTAATTGACCATTAAGCCACTAAAGCAAAGGGCTCTTTTTCGGACAATGTAGTCAACAAATTTACATGTAAAAGTTTGCAGGTGGGGGGGGGGAAAGGAAAAAGAGCCAAGCAAAGCTTTCGTCTGCTATTTAGCCAAACAAAAAAGCCTAAATGCCTAAAAAGTTTTTACCACAGATGCAGAAAAAGGAAGCTGAAAAAATAAAAACACTCAAGATTGTCGCGTATTGCAAACATTTCTCGATATTTATCCGCAAAATAATCAAAATCCAATAAAAGCAACAGTTTGAGTCTGACTCTAACCATTGGTTCAATTTAACTGCAATACACTGAATTCCTCAGAAGACTACAAATGCAAAAAATGATTAAATCAAGGTCTTCTAATTTTATTTTCAAGTCAAACAAAAATCTATGAAAACCGGACAAATTTTAATACAACTAGCGTGCAACGCACCTCCAGTGCTTGTAACAGTGCTTTAATAACCGTTAAAATTCTTTATAAAATATATGAAAAACAACGAAATGAATGCAACCGTAACAATGGACGGGATCATCGAACAACGCTTTTTATATCAAAAATTGAACGATATATTAATTTTAACTCAAAGGTTATCTTTAAATTGGAATGTTCAAATCTCCAAAACTACTGGGTTTCAGATTTTTGTATTTTTAACGAAGTAACAAAAAATTGCCGACAGCATAAAACTGCTTTTTCCATATTAAAAAATACTTGAAAAAATTTCGCTTGCAAAATCACTCAATTCATAAATGAGATTCTTGTTTAACTTAGTTCTTTTTTATCATAAGCCCGTACGTTTATCATTTGCTGCCATCAACACTTTAATCCAGCGCAAATAATTTTGAAACATTACACTATTTTTTCTTAGTTTAACTCTTGATGGAAAATCTTGAAATATCATGAAAAACAAGAATGTGAAAGATTAAAAAGGTTACGCCAAAAAATTAGGATACAGGCCATATCTGCAAAAGCTGGTTGTCAGCTGGCAGCACCCCATTAAATGGTCGACAATTTCAAAATATTTTCTATTAAACTGAAACTTTTGAAAATTTTTTTAAACATCATTAAAACGTCAAATCTAGGATTAAAAGCCGTTGATTAGGCATATTTGGAGTCCATGATTAAACCTCTTGAGAGAACCTTGGAGCACCCCGCCAGAATGTTAAGAATTTCGAACTTTGTGAAGTTTACTAAATCAAAAAAAATCATAAAAAACGGCATATCTCGGAAACCAAGAACATTTGAGCAGTCGCATTTGGAGGTCATTTTTGCAAACAATGAGAGTGCCCTGACAGTGCCCAACTGCAGAGTTGAAAAATTCAAATTTTGAGGAAATAATTGTATCTTAATTTCCTGAAATTTAAAAAAACGTCAACTCTCGGAAACTTAAAGCATTTTGGCAGTCACATTTGGAGGCGCAATTCGCAACCCCTGAGAGTACCCAATCAGTACTCAAACATAGGGTTGAGAAATACAGACTTTGTGGAATTTAGAAAATCTATTGTTCTGAGCATTCATAAAAAGAAGGTCATAAAAGAAGGTCGTATCTCGTAAAGAGTTGTAGACAATGACGAAATCTCTACCACTGGGAGAACACCGACAGCACCTTGCTGTTGACTTGCTAACTTCATACTTGGTGAAATATACACCGATTTGAAACTGGAAAAGCGAAAAAAATAAACCATTGCAATATACGATATAACTTAAACGTGAAAACAAACTTTCGTTAAGCATGCAAAAATAATACGTTGAAAACGCTTAAACATGTCGAGATAGTGAAGCCCGCATTTGAATATACAATAGACAGATATATAGATAGATGGATATAACAAATAGATATAAATATATAATAGGCAGATGGAAAGAAAGACAGATAGATAGAAAGATAGACAGATAGATAGATAGATAGATAGAAAGAAAAAAAGAAAGATAGATCGATCGATCGATAGATAGATAGATAGATAGATAGATAGATAGAGATAGATAGATAGATAGATAGATAGTAGATTCGTTCAAAATCTGTTAGCTAATTTTCAACGTTTTCACAGCCAAAGAGTACAAAAAAAAATTAGCAAACAAAGGCAAAATACAATTTAAAAAGTACAATACAAAACACACAGTTTCATGACGCGAAAATAAATGAGTAAAAAATGAACAAAGTCGAGAAATGGCAACAACCAAAATTTTTTGTATTTTTTTCTCCATTCAAGAAAAACATAACAAAAAACAACTGGCAGAGTTAAATTCGTATTGAAACCAAATTCATCAATCGGTAATCAAGCAGACAATGCATGGGTAGACGACCGTTGAGCTGTCAAAAAGTAATTAAAAAAATGGAGCTACAAAATCGTAACAACCTCTAAAATTTGGAGCCCAAAGAAACTAAGGAAACTATGAAACCAAATAAAATGCATGTTCATCAAGAACACCCGGATGTATCAAAAGGCACTTTCGACATTAGTTAAAAACAAAGATCAAACGAAAAAATTAATATCGAATTTTCAAAAAACTTGAATACAAACATTTCAAACAATACTGCAAAAAAGAATTCAGGGAAAAAAGGTAAATATCAACCTGTCAAATACGCAACTGAACCACAACAAACAAGATCACAAAAACATAAAGCCGCCCATTAGTGAAAAAATTCATAAATTTCAAAACATTACTAGAAACACCCGCAATTTTGAAGATCAAGCAACACCCGCCAAATACCTTCGTAACAAAACAATCAAAGCAAAATTGGAAAACAAAGTTTTCCGGAAATAAATTTAAGATATTAATTTCAGAAATTCTGACTAAATTCTAAAAAGATTAGAGATTTGAGCAAAATGCTGTGCCATCACCATGAACAGACTTCAAATGAATTTGCTCAAAATGAAAATTTTATACCAAGTTGTGTGCAGCTAACTGCACACACAATCAGAACCAAAAAAAATCAGAAACCATGCCTTCGAGAAAAATCGAAATAAAACTCTTACATAGAGGCAAAGCTGCACTTCGCAAATCCTAGCGAGAACACGACAAAAAGCAGCTCTATAAAGTTCAATAAGAAGTAGAAAAAAAAATTCGACTACGTCTCGGACTCGATCAGCGACCTAGAGATTATGAGTTTTACGCGCTAACCACTCAGCCACGGACGCTTATTAAATCACAAAGACTAGCCATAAACAAAGCAGATAACAGATGCTTTGAAACTTCCACTGCTTCAGATCGTGATTATAGCAAAAGTTCCACCAAATAAGTGAAAACAAATTCAATAAATATGTTCGTCCTAATACACTACGCTCGCGAGCTATCAGTGCACGAAAAATCCAACAAAAATGCTTCAAAGTTTTTCCTTTCAAACTGAAAATTTTTTTAAGTATCAAAGAATCCCTGTTTAAAAAATGTTTGCTCGTCTTGCGTTCTTAAAATTGAAACAAACAAATAATTGAACAGAATTTTCTGAAAAAAACACCCGGCAAATATGCGCACTTTTGTAAAGTTTAAAAAATTCAACCCATGAGAACAACTTCCCTTCTAAATAGACCAAAGAAAAAATCGTACCACGCTCAAATCTGGTAGGCTAAAAATAATACTTTTGAACAAACAAACTAGCTCAACCCTATTTTGATTTAGGG